AGTAGAAAACATATGTATTTTAATAAAAAATTACCCAAATTAACATGTCTAGTGAACAGTACCTTTAAAAATGTGTTTAATCAAATATTAAAATGTTTTTCTACTACTCTTCTACTTCAATATAGTGTTAAGTAAGATAAAGAGTAAATGTGTGTCTACAACTATTTGTAAACATTAAACTAAAATAAACCAATTTCAAATAACACCTGTTTTGTATTTAAATAAAACTTGTTATGTTCCTCTTTATTAAATACATAAATGAGTTTACCAGAATTCAACCACATACATTTTATGTTTTTACTTCTAGTGGCAACGTATACATTTAAAAGTGACTACTAATTCAGTCTTTCAAGCTTATTATTTAAGGAGACCCCAGTTATTACAAAATATCGTATTGACAATATCTAATTTCTTTTTAATAATGGTTTTGCGTTATCAACATTTTACAGCACTTTGTTTATATAATGAGACATCTGTCCAGTTCTTTTAATTAAATCACACATAATTACATTATTTAAATCAAGTAATTATATTTTTATATTCCACTCATAATTTGGTATATAAAGAGCACAAACTGTTTTATTGTTAATTCCACCGCATGGAAGAAAACATTGGTTCGTTTCACTTGTACCACATTGACACTGCACATCCTGCACCTAAAAAGTAGATCTCTCTCTGTTTTTATAATACTGTTATTGCAGGACAAACGATAATCGTGGTGTTCAGCAAACGGACATCAAAAAGGTGTTGCCAACTTAAGCTGGCTACTATTTCCTCCCTAACCTCAGTGACCCTTTCATCCATGTACTGGGTCTATGTTAGGACAACCTTAGATATACCAGCCCTGGGCCGCACTAACTGTCTTATGTCAAAATGATTATTGTAAACCACTAATACAGTAGCTGTGTTCCCTTTAAATATTTATAATAATAATAATAACAATTATACTCTCCCTAATTCATCCCCTTAAGAGTGACGAAGGGAAGGCTATTATTATTATTATTTGCCGTGTCGGTGTCGCTTCGAGGCGACTTAAAGATGATTGATGGTGCCATTTGACTTACATGATCATCGAAACGGTAACGCATGGCGAATTATAATCTGGATGACATATTTCTGCTAATGCGGCATCCATCAAATCCTACAACGAACTATCAAATTATTTAAAAATTCACATGGTCTGCTGTAGGATTTGAAGCATGTGTGTCTCAACCACAAAATTGCCTATAAATAACAAGCGCGTTAGACAACTACGCGACCGAAAGATTGTTGATAGCAAGTTTGCTTTAATTCGGCAGTAACGTGCTAAGCGCTTACAGTTAAACTGGTTAAACTATGGAGTGGTTAAACGAAACTGTCAGTACATTCGGTAAAATAGGATACTACTAAGTAAAGCTATTTAAAAAATAGGGGGTTCAAAATTTATTAAATTTGAAGCCACATTTTCCTATTTTTACTAGAACAATTAATAAGTTTAGTGAATTCTTGTTGTAAGTAAATGCTGAAAAATGGAAAATGTCACTAGTTAAATGAAAAATTAAATACATTGTTAATAAGTTTAAATTATTTAGAATAACAATGTCATTAAATCATACATTCCATTATTTCCCAACTACATGTCCTTAATATTCTTAAGAGCAAACTGAACATCTTAAAACTTTTTAATTCCTTCGGAACCTTTAATTTTAGACCGATTTTTGTGAAATTTTCAGGAAATACCAATAATAAGAAAACTTAGGGTGGAGAAACCTTGATTTTTTTGTAAATCTTCGAAAAGTATTTATTTTCTTTTTTATATAAATAAAAAGTTCCTTGGTTTTTCGTCAAATAGTTTTAATTTTTGTATAATTTAAGCACTACATATATATGTTTCGGAAATACAATTTTTCCATCTTCTGGTGCAGTCAATTTATAAAAAATGGGGACGAATACAAACACTTTAAAAAAATTTTAAATAATAGAACCCCATATTTGTATTTCACATCGAATTTATTTTCATAATTTATAAAAGTAATTAAAAAAAAAAAAACGTTACGCGCCATTCTTTATTAGATCTGTGAAAATTTGTTTTAATAAATATCTAGTAGTTTTTAAATGGAAGGTTTTTATACTTTTTTTCGTATTCCCAGTGGCCCGCTTATAAATACAATTTTGTATTAGAATATCCTCACCATATTTTTGCTTTTCCAAGATGTCCAGTTTGCTCTTAAACTCTTATTTTCCGTTTATTAAAAAATTCCAATAACCAGGAGTATCTAAAATAAATAAATAATTAAATAATAAATAAAAGCATCTTTAAATTAAAAATTAAGTAATTTTTTTTTAATTCTTAGAAATATCAGTATATTTTCTTATAATAAAAAGTGCCTACACAGAACTACAATAAATAAAACATCTGAATTATGGTCTTACAAGTAAATTATACAAAATTAACATATCCTAAATATAAAATAAGTTTTTGAATTACGCATTCCTTATGTTCACATTTGGGATATAATCATGAATAGTATAAAAAAAAATTGAACAATTTCTTTTTGAACTTAATTCAAAGTTCTTTTTCATGTTCTCTTAAATAATTAAAACTATGATAAAGTACTGGAGATTCTAATATCTGTTACTAAATTGGTTTCACACCATTCATTCAATTGTTTTTTTTTTTTTTTTTTTTTTTCAAATCCATAAATCTATTTATATGTATTGCAAAAAAATGTGTTGTAATTACTTTTTCATAATTAGTGAAGCGATTAAATTCGGATAGAGCATTTATTTAAGTATACCTGCAAAAATAAAAATACAATCTGGTAAAATAAACTAAAATAAATTTCTGATTGATTGTCGAGAAGCATTTTTTCTAATCGGATTTCAAGGGAAATTATAAGTGTAACAAAATAGGGGTAACTTTGATGAAATTTACAAACATCAGTCGATTTTAAACGCTCGCTATTCCCTTATTTGTCATCGACTCGAACATTAAACTATTGTAAACTGTACTTATTCAGCCCATATCGCTAGCAAAATGAAATCAGTGCAGAATATGGGAGCGAGGCCTTCAATGACAATACATACATCAATACATACATACATCTGGATGCTCTAACCCTAGAAGGTAAAACTATAAATACTAGGGTAGTGTACTCTCGCGGAGTATCCTCTGTATGAAGACTGAACAACAATTTTTCATTTTAGACTAGCCATTTGTGCAGCCTATGGCGAATCGGCAATGGTCAAATTTTAAATTTCCGTCCTTCTTTTTATAAAGTTCGCGAAATTGACTGCAGTTGGCATGTCTAATGACAGCGCAGTCAACTTTCTATGTAAGTCAATGTAAAATGAAGTGATTTTTTGAAAAATTTATGAAAAGAATCAAAATAATGTGAAAAAAAGTACCGGAGTACAAGTAACATGAGTGACAAAAAACATCAAAGCAAGATTTACTTCGTTTCAGATTGTAAAACAGGATAAAAATCAAATGTAAAACTAAAGAAAACACAAGAAAAAATCAATTCAATGTCTTTTTAAAGCTTTTAATGTAAGTAAAATAATGTATTCATGTCTAAATATAATATTTATTGTAAACTAGTCACAATATGTATCTTACGAAGTGTAGTTTATTTTATTATAAGTTTCTATAATAATAAATTTTACAGTTATAGATGCTGACTTACAAACAACAATAATTATGCATTAAATTTAACTTTAAACTTTAACTAGAGAAGAAAATGTATTTTTTATAGAGTTTTAATGTTAGATAAAGAGTTGCTACTGTTATTTTTTTTTACCCCAATTGTGTCATTGTAAATGTTTTTTTTATAGGATACTAAATTTAGAACAGTGGCAGCATATATATCGTTCCTAGTGCCGATAAAGCACTTTCTAGAGATGATGTTCTATACTTTTTAGAAGATACTATCAAATATTATGAGACTATTTTTACTGATGGTACTGTTAACAAAATAAAAAGGGAAAGCTGAAATTAAAGGATGAGGTAATACCATGTACATTCTAAAATTTCCCTTTATACTTGTATTACAACAATAAAAAATCTGTTCTGTGTTTTATTTTACTCTTAAAACTATATATTGGTTCAATTCAAAAAAAAAAAAAAATTGCCACAAAATTGTACTTATCAAATTTCAGTAATTAAGAAACCTTTTCGAATTTGATCATACATACCTAATTTGTATTTTATATAGATAAAATTAAATAATTTATCAATTAAAACATGCAAGACTTATTTAGAAATAAATACAACAGTATTTTCTGTGCTTTATTTAGCTGTAAACAAGTTTATTTTTATTATTTTGACAAAATTATGTATAATTCCCATAAGAAGCCTTGTATTTTGATCAACGTATGCAGTGCCAGCGCCCATGGGGTTAATTATAGAAGCTCAATTAGCATGCGTTTTTTGGGACCGTATTGTGATTATGCCGATTCGTCTGCTTATCTCTAGTCTTCATAGTGCAACCTTAAAAAATGCAAGCGAGATGGCCCGGGTACAATTGAAAGGGGATCATCAAGACATCGAATTTTTAGCTTTAGGGCCGATCTATTCACCTCTGAGTAAAGTTACATGTAGATTTACTTGACAGATTAACGAACTATATAGCCCTATAGTTTAATCAGCAAGTAGTTACTTTCAACTTTACTCAGAGGCGAAAAGATTGGCCCTTATTCTAATTTTTCACAAGTAAATTTACTCTATTTCCTGGCCCATGACTCGAACATTATAAATTATCCAATCAGATTTTGTGCTTCGTTATGACGAAATTTGAAGATTATTGAGGCGCGCATTTCATAATTGAATTGTTCAATTTTTTGAAATTTTTTTAATAATAAAAATTTGTAAAGGAAAAAATTCACTAAACCTGGTTATTTCTTTTGATCGATCATATCTTTTCCTTTTCCTATTAATGGCACAATTAAATAATCATTAACATTCCAATAGATGTTTACTCGAAACTTTTAAACAAACATTTTTATCTTTAATTCACTTTTAGGTGTTACAAAGTCATACCGAGTCAATAAGATCAGAAACTTCGATATCTCGAAAAAGTTCCAGTGATAAGGACAAAGATGTAGTAAGCGTAAAATCACATCATTCTGTGGTATCGGAATTTTCTGAGATAGAAATTTCGTCTAAAGATATTTCGTCTAATGAGCACCGAAACTACATCAAAAAGTAAGTTTAGTTTTAAATATATTTTGTTACACTCATTTAAAACCAATCTATTCTAAAATCTAAACATAATAGGTAGTAATGAAATGTGTGAAGAATGGTGACTGCGTTCCAGAATCCTTTCATCATACAAATTATACCAATCAAATACATAATTTTTGTTTAACACAGTAATTAGTATACTTAAGATCATTTATCTCAAAATTTCCATAAATTATTTTTTATTTGGGATAGAATCTAAGTTATCTGGTTCAATTTGCACAGCGTTGCCATATTATGTCTAAGACTGTATTCTATCTTTCATTTTTGATGTTTCTAAAATACTCTACCTCCTGAAATTGACTAATTGACGTTTAGGAGAAAAAATAATATAATTTTGGAAATATGAACATGGAAAATCTCCGATTTCCCCTACGAAATTATAAAAATTACACCCTCATCCCCATTGTAAAACCAAACCACAAGGAAAATTGAAAAAGCTAAGAATTAAAGAAAAAAAAAATGAGTGCATCGGCCAGGAGTCGAACCCGAAACCTTGCACTTCACCCGTCCATACTCTTACCAATTGAGCTACTGAAGCGAATCACTTAGATATCCGAATTCGTAGATTTGAAGTCATTCAGATTTCGACTCTCGTCGGTACAAACAAATTCTTATCCCATCTCATATGAGGGTGTAATTTTCTTAATTTAGTAGGCTGAATTGAAGCATTTAGTTTTTCAGATCTCAACCGATTGTAGGGTATAAGGTTGTTAGTTAGCATGTAAGATGACATTGAAAATAATAATAAAGTCACGATTTAATTGTCAGAGTTGTTAAACATTTATTCGCTTCTAAAAGGCTCTATAAGTTTACTATAATTGGTGATCCCGCAGAAAAACTATGGTTAAAGTAATCAAGAGTCTGACTAAAAAAAGAAATTTGCCAACTCTTGCAGCATTTTAATCTCAGTTGTACCGGCTCTGTGGCCGACATGGACGTCATGCTACAAGGAGAAATTCTAAGAAGATATGAAAGCTTATCCAACGTTAACGCTTTTGATTTTACTGACGTCCTTTCTAAGATAGTTACAAATGAGATTGATAACGAGGTAAATACCAGTGAACCGGAAAGAGACATAATAGTTAATTTAGAACTCAAAGAAAAAAATTTAGAATATATATGCGTGTTGTTAATAGAAAAAGTGGATGAAAGTAACGAAAAGTTAGAAAAACAACTTTAGCGTAAAATGTGAAACCAAGTAGTTCATACCCAAATCCATCTACAGCAATAAAAACACCAGACTGTGAGGATAATTCGAAAGTCGGAACTGAACAGCTCCAAGCAAAATCTTTTTCAATTCCTACGTTCTGGAAAAACGAACCTGAGCTATGGGTTAGTGTCGTTGTAGTGAAATTGAGGTTTAACCCGAAAATATAAGGCTTTATTCAACTAAATTGACAGTGTCATATAAATCAATAACATTAAACAATTGAACATTCAAACATAATAAAGGTCGATTCACTACATTCTTCCCATGTTTAAAAATAATCGCCTAGGTACTTGGGTCTAGAACGGGTTCTTTCAGAACGACGTAACTCTTGGCATTGGTCTCCAGACTGTTCGGAAGTTTCGCAATGACGGTTGGATGATTCCGGTATAGTTGGCATTTCAGTTAAAGGGTTGTCGACTTGCAAATTACTATCTTCACTACTACCTTCACTACTATCTACATTTATCTCTTCTTGTTGGGTTGGAGCTAGATGCCTGTTTGAAATGGTAACTTCTCTGCCGTTTTGTAAGCGAACCAGTGAGTAAAACGGATTAGGTTGAAGAAGTTCAGCCTCATCCACTATGGGGTCATATTTACTTTGTCGGACGAGACGTTTCACTAATAAGGGGCCTGGTTGAAGCCATGATGGTACTGACTGGCCATTCGCAGATCTTCTGGGATGTGCAAACATCCTCTCATGCTGGGTCTCGTTTATTGCCGTGCATAACAGCGACCTGATAGAATGTAAAGCTTGCTTCAGTACCAGTTCCCAGTATTTCAAGTCCCAATTCCTCGTTCTTAAGGCCAATTGAACAGACTTGAATATGATTCCATTGTATCTTTCTGTTTGCCCGTTACCTTTTGGATTGTATGGTGTTGTAAAGCTCGTAGCCACCCCTCTCTCCCTTAAAAATTGCTGGGCTTCGCTTGATAAGAAAGATGTCCCTCGGTCGGAGTGGACATAGCTGGGTAAACCGAAAACAGAGAAAAGATCAACCAAACAGTTGATGACTGTTTTTGAGCTTAAATCTGGGCAAGGGTATGCAAAGGGAAATCTTGAAAATTCATCTACTATAGTCAATAAATAACGATTGTTTGTGTTCGTCGGTATAGGACCTTTAAAATCTATTGATAATCTTTCGAAAGGAGATGTTGCTTTTATAAGGGTTCCCGAAGTAGTAGCAAATTTTGGTTTGAGTTCTTGACACACTCGACAAGATGAGATTATTGTCTTAATATCATCTATAGAGAACGGCATATTTTTAGAACGTACCCAGTGAGCAAGGCGCGTGACACCAGGATGACAGCGTTTCATGAAGCTGGATCAGATTTTCAGTTCCACTAGTGACCATAGCCACTACTCTGGAGAGTGCATCGGACACATTAATCTCAGCCACAGGGCGGTAAATTATATCAAAGTGAACACATGACAGTTCTAAACGCCACCTCAGGATTTTCTCATTTTTGATTTTAGATGCATGTCTCTTATTGAACATGAAGCTTACGGATTTTTGATCGGTTATCAGTTTAAAGGACTTGGCAATCAGAAAATGCCTCCATCTACGTAGAGACTCAACTATCGCATATGCTTCCTTTTCTATAATGGAATGACCTTTCTCAGACGCAGACAAAGTCCTTGCGAAAAATGCTACCGGACGTCCATCTTGTGATAAAGACGCTGCTATGGTATGTTCCGAAGCATCTGTTTCAACGGTAAATAGGATCAATTGAGTTGACTGCAGCCCTAGCAATATCTTGTTTCAGATTATTAAATGATGCTATAGCGGATTCTACAAGTGGAAATTTTTGTCTCTGTATTAGGGGGTCGTATTTTTTCTGAAAACTTAGCTATATATTTCGCATAGTGAGCAAACATACCAATAGCTCTTTTGAGAGTACTTGAGTCTTTCGGCAACGGTAGTTCTAGTAAAGATTTTAAGCGGTCAGGATCGGGTCTGATTGTGCCGTTGGATATGTGATAGCCTAGTAAATGTATTTCTTTTATACAAAAACACTCTTTTCTTTGTTAAGTGTAAGATTGTATTTATTGGCAGCATCGAGGAAGGCAGATAACTTTCTTTCGTGATCCTCTTCATCTCTTCCACATATGGTGATGTCATCCAAATATGCTACGACACCTTCGAGACGTTCTTTCTGAATAATTGAGCGAATAGCACGCTGGAAACAAGCAACGCCGTTGGTTACTCCAAACGGAATTCGACAAAATTGGTAAAGATTCCCAGATGCTTCGAATGCAGTATAAGATTTATCGTTCTCAACTATGGGGATTTGATGATATGCACTTTTAAGGTCTATCTTGCTAAATACTCTATGCTTAGCTACCTCTGCAACCATATAGCAGGTAGTGGAAATGCATCTAACAACGTGAAGCGATTTATAGTTTGGGAGTAGTCGATACACATACGTTTTTTATGACGTTCGTTGGAAGTAACTAATACTTGAGCTCGCCACGGTGACGAACTTTCCTCGATTATTCCATCTTTAAGTAACTGTGAAACTTCTGCTTCAATAAAGGTTGAATCCTCTGGTGAGTGTTTTCGAGTCTTGATGGCAATGGGTTTGCAATCAGGAGTCAGATAGGAGAATAAGTTTTGAGGTTCAATGTTAGCAGCTGATAGTGCACATACTTTGAGAGTCGGCCTGGGTCCTCCAAAGTCTAGTTGTACTTGCGAATTATTCTTTAGAATATCATGCCCTATGATAACATCTGCAAATAAACCATTCAGTACCCACAAATCGGCTTCATAACTGTTTTGCAATAATTTTATATTAACTCTACAAATTCCAACAACCTTTGATTTTAAAAATGATGTAGCCATCGTTACTTCTTGTTGAGAGGGCTTCATGTGAAGACGGTATTGTTGAACAAGGCGGTTTTCTATGAAGCTACATGTACTTCCTGTATCAACCAGAGCTTTTGCAGCGTGTCCATTGATGAAAATTGGTACAATAGCTTCTCTTAAACCCGAAGCAGCAGAAAGTATACATGACAATGTTCCGAGTTCACTTTCAGGTTGTTCTCCTTTGGTAATTGCGGATACGGTAGGTTTACTTCGACAGACTTTTGTGATGTGGCCTTTCTTGCCACAGGATAGACATACTGTATTAAAGGCTGGGCATTTTCTGCGAACGTGCAGTTTGTTACCGCAAAAGTAGCAAGAATCTTTTGATGTAGATGGTAATGCATTTAAATTGTTCGAAGGAAAGGCGCTTGATTCACTTGCGAAGGCGCTGTTGTGAACTCTTGCAAACTCTAGTGCTCTGGCTTGTTGGTGCGCTTTCTAGAAGTGAACTGCTTTCTAGAAGTCTCTGTCGTATGGAGCTCGATGTCAAACCAGCAATAAATGCATCTCTTATACAGTCTTGTTCATTTTGTTCGGCAGATACTGCTTTGAACCCACATTCCTTGGCCAGAAGTTTTAATGATTGTATAAATTGGTCAATCGTTTCACCAGGCCGTTGTTCACGCTTGGCCAGTTGATGGCGTGCATACGTTTCATTCTTTGGTTTTATAAAAATAGCGTCTAGTCTCGAAATAGCTGAATCATATGTCTCGGCGTCTTTTATATGATTAAAAACAGTTGCAGAAAGGTGATTTACCAGGAGTTGATACTTAGTTGCATCTGACAGAGGTTCAGGTTGCTGGTTTTCTCCAGTGGAGCTAGTTGACGAGGCTTTAAGGAAATTTTTGAAAGTTGTCTTCCAGTGTATCCAGTGAGAAGTTGTGGCG